ATTTCATTGTATCAGTTAGAACCTCCAGTACAAGGTTGACCAGAAGTGAGGAGAGCAGACACACTGTCTTGCTCCTTATCTTAGGAGGAGAGCCTTTCGTCCTTCACCCTCGAGTATGACGTTAACGGAAGGTTTTTTCATAGATGTCTTTGATCACGCTGAGCAATTTCTCCTTTACTCTTGGTTTGCTAAAAGTTTGTATAATGAATGAATGTTGGGCATTATTCAAAGCTTTTTCTGCACATATTAGAATGACCACATGTTTTTTCATTTCTCAGTCTGTTAATATGGTGAATTATATAGATTGATTTTTTTGGACTTGATTGTATGTAGATTCTATTTGCTAAATTTTTTTCCCTCACCTGAGGAAACGTTCATTGATTTTAGAAGAAAGGGAAGGAGAGAGACAGAGACAGAGGGATGTCCATGTGAGAGAGGAACACTGATTGGTTGCCTCCAGTATGTGCCCTAAGCTGGGACTGGACCCACTTCTTCTGTACGTGCCCTGACTGGGAATCGAACCCACAATCTTTTGGTGTACGGGACAATGCTCCAACCAACTGAGCTATCTGGCTAGGGCTGTATTTGCTAAATTTTTAAGAATTTCTACATCTAAATTCATGAGGAATGTTAGTTATAGTTTTGTCTGTTTAATAATATGACTGTTTTTCTGGACCATGCCCCTTGATTAAACTCAAATATAGAAGATATTAAATCAGTTATGTAGCTTGGGAAACTAATGTCAGGAACATATCTGAAGAATGAAAGTAATCAAATATATTTGGTATGGTTCTTGTGAAAGAAAAAATATGAGAAAGCTGGATGAGAAAGTTAACATTTTTTTTGCCAAGTGAAATTATCTAAATGTTGCATTGTTGTTATTCTTTTGGATAGATTAAACAGTCCAGAAGGGAGGGAAAGGAAAGGAAAATTCTTTATTTAAAACAATAAAGAAAGAAAAGGAAACAAGATAAAATTCTTTCCTGTTCATGGGAATTCACGGGGAAAGGAAGGATGGGAGAAACGGAGGTGTGAAGAGACACGCACTTCATGAGGATTCCTCCTGCCCCGTCCTTTACGGGGAAAGGGGAGGACATAAACCTCTCCGAGCCCTCTGGGTGAGGCACTAGGCGGATGCCTTGGCAGATACCTCCTATAGTGGTACTGGGTGAGGAAGACTTTTTGGAGGACAGGAGAATCCACAGTGGTGACAGCCAGCATATCCCAAATTGCTCGCATGGACAGAACTTCAAAGGGAAGATTATTTCATGTGCTTGACCTAGTCTTTGAAAGGAAGGGCACATTTTGAGCCACTGACCAACTGGTGTCCAGAGGGGGGTTATCTGGTCAGTGAAGAGACCCAACACCAGGTCATCTAAAGGTGTGTTTACACTTCCCCTGAAGAGGAGAAAATTAGTGGGGGTGGGGGTAGATAACACTTCAATAATGAAAGGGCTTTCTCTTCTAATTTGGAAAAGGAAATACGCTTTTTAGGATATGGCTTCAGGTGGCAGAAATCTGATCCATGGTGGGAATTATGCAGAGTAGGGTTGCAGCTCAACCTCTGATGCAGGCTGTCTGGGGGAAGGGGTGCAGGTGCGTTGCATGACCCGGTGCCCCCGATGGGAGATGGTGGTGGACAGGCACCACTGCCCATCTGGGACACCAGGAGGGAATACAGTCCCTGGGTTATGTGGGAGAGGGAGCTAAAAGTCTGACAGCCAAGGTCCACTTCCACTTGAGGAACCTGTGAATTAGCTGTGTCTGCCTCCTCTCTCCACACAGGCAGAGCATGAATACAAAATGATGCATATGGGTGTGTGTGTGTGTGTGTGTGTGTGTGTGCGCATGGGTGTGTGTGTGTGTGTGTTTGAATGCAGTCATCTAGGGGCACTCTCACAATCCTTATGCACAATGACATACCACAGCAGCTGGTAGTGGACTTGGGGGAATGATAACCATATGGATGTTGGCCCTGCTGAATTCATTCTGAATCTCCCCTGGGACCAGTGAGCCTTTGAACCTGCCTGTCTCCTGGGCTTGGAGGAGTTTCTGGTTGCAGGGTTACCCTGCTGCCTTCTGGGGACCCTGAAGGATCAATCCGTGCTTAGGAGCTAGGACTGTGAAGTCCCAGGATTCCTATTCTGGTCTGAATACCTCATTAGCCATATGACCTTGAGTAAACTGTCTAACCTTTTTATCGTACCTTATTTTCCTTATCTGTAAAATGAGAACGACGAAACCTGCTTTAAGAGCTGGTGTGAGAATTAAATGAGATAACAGGTATAAAGCACTCGTGAGAGGTCCTGGCTCATGGCAAACACTAAACCAGAGGCTTGCGTTAGGCCTGACTTCTCGGGCAGCATGCTGAGCTGGGCAAGGGCCGCAGTCATGTTTGGCGGCAATAACCTTGATTGTTTATTTGATTTACTCTCAGGCAAGAATGTGAGCTCTGAGAGAGCAGGAACATGGCTGGTTTAGTCACTGTTTTATTTCCAGTAATCTGCATGCTGCCCAGCACATCTTCCTCAAAAGTGGAAACAGTTGTGTTTCATTCTTCTCTGGGCCCACTGAGGCTTTCTTGGTGCTGCCAAGACAGTCCCTGCAAGCAGCTCCGAAACAGAGATCAGGGTTTGGCCCAGCCTCCCCTTGGCACAACTTTTCACTGTCTACCCCTGGACCAAAGCCACGGGCTAACATGGACTTGTCAATGAGATAGATCTTAATTTGTCACCACCCTTCCCATTTCATGGGTGAGGACACTGAGTCAAGGAGTTTAAATAACAGCTCAGGGTGAGGCAGCCACATCCCATGAGTGATAATGTCAGGATTCAAATCCAGCTCTTTCTGCAAGATCGCTGGCGGGCAACAAGAGTTATTACCTCTTTCTGAGGGAGACTGGGGTGGTGGGGGGAAAGAGAACTGTTCTTTATGATTAGACATATTAAGCTAAGTCTGGTGCTGATGATACAGATAGTTGAACCGCTTCGGGGTGACTGGAGGGCTGGGTCAGATGGGTCGGCACAGCCCTGGCCCCAGCTCCATCCTGTCTCCCTTAACTAGAAGCCCTCCCCCACTTCCTTCCTTCTGGTCCCCATGCCCTCACTGCCAGTGAATCTCAGAGCGTGGCAGCAATCTATGTCAGAAGTTCACTGACAGTGCAGAGTCCTGGACCCACTCCAGATCTGCTGACTCTGAATCCCTCGGGTGAGGCCCAGGGGTCAGCTTCCAGGTGGTTCTAGTGACTGCGGCTTGAACCACCGCCCTGGATTCATATCCCTCCTCCCCTCGGGCCTGCTTGTCCCTCCTCAGTCTGTAAGAAGCCCGGGCAGCTTCTGCTTCATGCTCTTTGCCCCCACAGTTCTCGACTGGAGGGAGCCAAGGCCAGACCGGCACTTTGGGAGAGCCTAGGGGCCTCTGGGCTTGAGGCTGGAAAACCCTGGTGTGTGGGAAAGGCTTTGCTCATGACATCAGGGGAGAAGTTTTTACTTTTTTTCCCCTGAACTCAAATTCCTCTGGCTTAAGGAAGCCAGCCCACAGAAAATGGGCACAGGCAGATCCCAGCACATCACTGGGGCATGAGACAAGGACGGGAATTTCTTGTGCTCCAAAGAAGGCAGTTAGCAAGGTGGTGGGAGGCTGCGTACTCTGTGGAGAAGCTCCTTGGAGAGGAGAAGTTCCTGAAGAGGCTGGGGCCAGAAGGTGGGGTGGGGTGGGGCGGGGCGGAGCCTGAAGAGGACTGAGGCGTGTCTAAAAGGATGTTTAGGTGATTTGCTGAGCAGTGTGTGATGTGGCCTTCCCTGAGGCTCCCCCAGTTATCCAGTCGATCCTATTAAACCCATGAGTATTGGGTGTGAGTGATTTTTGTTGTGGAAACCGAAGAAGGGTCAGAGTTTCAAGCAGATCAGGGTGAGTCAGGCTGAACTCAGCAACCTGGGATGCTAGGGTGTGAGAGGAGCCGAAGAACCCAGAGCCCCTGGGGTTCATGGAAGTCAAGGCCTCCGGGCTTCCACAGCCACAGACTGGAGGAGGCAGGCAGATGTTCCCGAATCTAGGGGGTGGGCAGGGAGGCCTCTAGCCAACCACCCTCAACCCTGAAACTGAAAAGTGAGAAGACAAAAGAAAAACGTGGTTTGGCTCTATAAATGCGATACTAATTACAGCCATTTGTGCAAATAGCTTTCCACGAATGTTTAATTGCTTACCATCCGTTATAATAACAGTTATGCATTGCATGAACTACACATCCGATTAGCTGAGTTTTATTTGCCTCCATGTGGGCCTGTCTTTCTCCTGCCTTTCTTGCCTGGCTGTCTATGGACCAATATAGTGACTTGATTTACAACTTGAAAAAAAAAGAAGTATGGACACAGCACTCAGTGTTTGAGTAATTCTCTCCTCCAAGAGGTGGATTTCCTCATGCTGGCTCAAACAGCAGTATTATCTCGTTTGGGGGCTTGGCCAAAAAAGAATGTGAGTTCTATTAACACATATCTGTTGGCCCTTTCCTCTGCAGGAGACCCATAAAATGTCCTTCACCAAAGCAAATAGATCCCTGTGTGCCTCTAAAATAGAACTAAATAATCATTCCCAGCCAATGTTACTAACTTGTCCTAAGTCCACGCTTCAGAGAGCAGATTAAAATATGGAAACAATTCCTTGGGGAACAGTTAAGAGATCTGGGATGAAAAGGCTCTTCAGCAGTTCTCCCTGAAGAACAGCTTGGAAGTAAAAGGCACCAGCTCATGAATTCAAGAAGAAGACACCTCCGACCATCTTCTGCACTCTTCCTGATGGTTGGCTCTGGCCCAAGGGCTGTGGTGGCAGAGCAGGCGGTGGAGATCAATACAAAATATATGAATTATAAAGCCTCATTTGTATCTTTAGGGAGGTGACGACTTGGTTGGGTGATGGGCCACAGATAAATGGGCCCAGATGGAAGAAGAGGGAGCGGGAGAGAAGAAGAGCACAGTACGAGTACATCGGCAAAGCAATCTTACTTCTGCACGTCTTCTGATCCGAGCTGAGGATGTACCCTTGTTTGCACCTGCAGACGTATGAGCCAGGGGTGTTGATGCAGAAGTGGGCACAGTTGTGCTCCCGGAGGCTGCACATGTGGACCACTGAAAGGAAAGATATGGCAAGCTTAGGCAACAATAATGCCTTCTCTACTTCAAGCACACAGCAAACATTTATTCAGAACTTTACTCTGTGATGGAGAGAGCAGGGCCCAAAGAGAAAGAAGTTGCAGTCTCCACTCCAAGGGGTTTTAAAGCCTCTGGTCAGAAGAGACAGTTCTAGGTAAATGCTATCAGCCCTATATAGATACAGGGCTATGGAGAATTAACGGGAAATAATGTTGGGTTCCGCCCTATGAAATCACCAATATTCAACTAAAAACAGGTCCCAATGACCTACAGAAAGAGAAACTTCATGGTTTAATTAACAATACCCAACCAGTGGGTTGGAAGGTCAGGAGGCTTGATGATACCAGAGCAGCTTTGGCTAAGGTGTGGATGGCCAATAGGCAGCAGTGGAATTGGAGGAAAAGCTATTAAATGAGCATATAGTCAAGAATCAACAGCTTCTCAGGATCATAAATCCCAAGAGTAGTGTGATGTTCTTAGCATGTAAAAGTGTTATGCCAAATTTTGGAGTAAAAAATGCATTCGTATGTTCCATGTTTCCATAAGTTTTATGTCTCATCTGAAAATATTTCTACCTTTAGTTTCTGAAGTACTTCAGCTTTCAGATACATCAGTTCTTACATAAGTCTGTTTGGAGCTCATAAAAATTCCTTTTTTTACATTTTAATTTACGACTTTATAAAAAAAAGGCAACTTGAACATATTTCAAATTTACCAACATCAGCATAAACAAGTACAAGTTATGCAAGTGTCCTCAAAAACAGGAAAGGTGGCCATATGTGGAAATATATTTATAGAAGCTCAAATAAAAGAGGCTTTCAAAAGCTAAGGACAATCCCATTAACCCAGGGCTTAGGAAAACTCAGCAACCAATAAAATAAATACCCCATTGCATTTTCAGCTACCTTGTTGTATTTTCTTGAATCTCACTGACAGTCTGAAATCTCTTCCCTTTCAAAGGTGATTTTAGTGTTTGGAAAATCCAGAAGTCGCGCAGGGCACCAAATCTAGGCTGGAGCGGGGCTGAGTCACCTGGGTGATTTGATGTTTCATCAAAACACTCTGCACGAGACAGTTGCATGACCAGTGGCATTGTCATGGGGAAGCTGCCAATCACCGGTTGCCCATAGCTGCAGCCTTCTGAATCATCTGAATAGTTTCCAAATTGTTCAAGGTTAACACAAAATTTGATGCAGATTCATTGCTCTATTCGCTCATTTTGAATGCAATGTCCACACAGTACACATGCTCACTCAATGGTGTCTACCACCCCCACTGACTTGTGCAGTGAAGTCGTCATTGTCACACATGTGCATTCCAGTCCACTCTCCTTGGCTTCCAGATTATATCAATGTTGCATAAAGCAAGCCATTCTTGTTATATTAACAATGGCTTGACTTTTTCTGGACAGACCTCATATGTCTCCTTACTTCTAAGTAAAAAACATGGTGAGCATTAAATTAACAATAAATGTTAATAAATTAACATTTATTTCATAACAATACAATTTAGAATGATTCTTCTGAGTTTATAATTGTCTATGTTTTAGCTAAGATAAAAATAAGATTCAGGTAAGATTAGGAAAGTTCATAGGTCAAATAGAATCAATTGTTTTTACTTTGGTGTGAAATAAATATGTATTTATGACCATTGGCAACTTTACTAACCTCTTTGTATAAAATGGAAATGAAAATAGCACCTGTCTCACAAGGGCCTTGTAAGGGTTGAAATAATCCAGATGGTAAAGTGCTTAGAACAGGGCCCAGCACTGCTGGGGTGGGGGGGGGGCGGGGATTGGGGGGCGGCAAGGCGGGGTGACTCAATGGTTAGCTCAAATGAGTTAACCATTACGTAGCCAAGGACAAGCATGGTGGTTTTTTGTTTTGTTTTACATATGTGGGTTCATCCTACATATATTGATCTTCAACTTGGTTTTCCACTGAGCATTATTCACAAATTCTATCTATATTGATATATACCATCTTCATAGCACCTAAGATGCACCCCCATTTCAGAGATGTTAAAATGTGAAGACACATGCAGTCGATACTAATTATTTGCAGATTCTGAATTTGCGAATTTGCCTACTGGCTAAAAGTTATTTGTGACCCCAAAGCCAACACTCCCAGTGCTTTCACAGTTGTTCATGGGCATGCTCGGAGCAATGAAACATCGGAGTCGCCAGCTGAGGCTGAACTAGGTGATGCTCTGTCTTTTTGTTTCAGCTCTCAGCCTATAAACGTGTCCTTTCCAAGGCCTACTTCGTGCCATGGTTTTTTGAATCTTTGTGCTTTTTGTTGGTGTTTTGCTGTTTAAAAGGGCCACAAGCGTAGTGCTGGAGTTTGCAGAGGTGAACTGCTAGTGAAGTGTGTCTTGTGTTCCCAAGTGCAAGAGGCTATGATGTGCCGTAGGGAGAAAGTGTGCATAGATAAATTTCATTAGCACAGATAAACCACCTCAGTGCTGTGGGCTCTGCGTCCAAAGTCAATGAACCAACAAAAGATATTAAATAAGGTGTCTTTAAATAGAAATACACATAAAACAAGACTGTGTATTGATCAGTTGACAAAAGTGTGACCAGTGTCTTGCAGGAACCTAACTGTATTTCCCTTCTGAGCAATGGTTCAGTATTCGCTAATTCAGTGTTCACCATAACTTTATAGAACACAGTTGCTGAGGATAAGGAGAATCAACTGTACACCTTAGATTTCACCAAATACATTAGCTCTGGTCTATTCCTTTCAATTGCTTTATTCATTGGTCACATGACTCATTGTATTTGGCCACTTCCCAATTAGCTGACATTTGAGCAGGTCCCAAATGTTTGCTTTCACACTACTGTGATGAATATTCTCAAATGCACCTCCCTGAACTCACGTGCCACTGTTTCTCCAGGACTGGGCTCCAGTTTAACAGAGATGGCCCAATCGCCTTGCAAGGGGGGTCACACCAGCCATGCATGAGAGTAACAATTCCAACCCCCTCATACCTTCAGCACTTGGCATTCTCAACTTTAAGTTTGTGACAGTATGTGAGGGAAAAATCATCACTCTGACTTTAATTTGCATTTGCTTCGCACCCTGGAAGGCCCTTTTCTTTGAGTGGACTGACTGCTGGAGCCAAGTTACCCACGGGCACAAGGGCATTCCCGAGGAAGCCTTGGCATGTCACCAATTTCCTCCGTAATGAAGGAATTCTAAGGTCTAGGTAACCTAGACCTTAGTGCTAGGTTACACAGTGCTTAAGAACTGGTGCAAGGCCCAAGTGATGAGCCCAGTGCCCATCTTCTCAGTGGGACCCTGGCCGATAAAATAGGAAGGAAGGAGATGTGAGGCACAGAAAATAATCTGCTGGGCAGCAGACAGCACAGTGGTGAAGAGGTTAGCTTTGCCACTTACTATGTATGACCTTGTATGGATTACTTCATTTCTCTAAATTCCACTTTCTTCACCTGTCAAAGGGAGAAATTAAAAGAACCATTGCATATAGGGTTCTACAGTGGCAGCTTATTGCTGAGGCTTGCTTGGGCCGGGTTCCATCAGAGAAACTGGAACCTGGGGACTGTGTAAGTTGGATTAGTGGAGAAAGTGCAAGGCTGGGAGCCAGACTTGCGTTCTGGCTCCCCTCTACCTTGAGCAAGTGAGGGAAGTTCAGGTAGGTTGGGCAGCTCTTTTTGGCTTATTTCTTTATCTGCAGAGTAAAGGCATGGACAGGGCCCAGAGAGCCTCAGCACACATGTTTATTGCTTTCTCTGTGTAGCACCCTCTTGTTCTAGAAACTGCCCTTCTCACTCCAGAGGCATGGTAACGGTGGGAGCTGCTGTGTTGGTATGAGGCAGCCCCACTCTTGCCTGCCATTGGGTGGGACGGAGTTTGACAACCAGAGTCCTTTCTTGGCATTTAGGAACTAGAACTGAGAAAAAGGGGGTTTAAACCAAGGACAAGTTTATCTGGGGGCTAACATGCCCTCTGCCCTTGGGCCAGAGCACTCAGTGGCCCATGTGGCTGCATGGGGAAGCAGAGGGAAGAGACGAAGAGAACACAGGACTCTCCTTCATTACTCTTCTCGGTAATTTCATGAGTAATATAACGCAATCCCTCCTTTCTCAGGCTAGTTCAAGTTGAATTTCTACTACTTTCAACTAAAAGAATCCCAAACATTTTTACTAAGGCGGAATAAAAATTCTGCATCTGTTAAATTGTGTGGATGAGGGTTCAGTGAGTCCATGAGCATCAGGGTCCCATGCCTTGCTCTGCCGAGGGCCAGACCTCCGTGATGGGACTGACAGGGACACAACAGTTCCACCCCTTCCGCTGGCCTGCGAGGGCCCTCTGGGTGGGAACTGGGGCAAGGCTTTGTGTTCACGGGAAGGGATCACTAGTCAGTTGGTTGCCATTGGCAGGACTGGATTTTTTTTTCTAACTAGGAAATACGAATGTTCATAAATGTTTATTAATGAACACCTGAACGATTATAAGAGTAATCAGAGGAGTGGTGGGGCTGACTGGGAATCTTGAAAGGGACAGTTATTGGGTACGTGAAGGCAACATCTGTTGAAGTCACCCTATGCTCCCACTTAACACAACAGGGCCTCAAAGAGGGCAGTAAGTGTAGACTTTGCCCAGGTTGGTTAATGAAAGGCGTGTCTTAGGAGCACTATTAGGGCCTGACGTTGTGCCTGGCCTGGGTGGGGTGGGGTGGGGCTATTAGGGTAGGAGCGGCCAGTCTCCGGGCTCCAAGTGCCAGGATAGGTTGATAAAGCACGTACCAAGAGGTTAATTAAAAGCAGCCCTGCCCAGGTTATAATGAGTCTTCAGAAGGCTCAGGACAGACATGTGTTCTTCAGCCCCTAAATTCTGTGTCCTCTGTCACTGGGTAGCAAAGGTTGGGTAGGCATTTTGTAGACTGGGCGTCCTTTCACAGGACACCTGGCTCCTGGTTTCTCTGGTGGTCTCAGGGCTGGCCTGTGTAGGCAACCGCAGGCTTCCCACCTCCCTCCCCTGCTGTGGCTGGTGTGGGAATGGACTACCCATGGGTATAGAGCCACCACTGTGTCCAAGTTCACGTGGACACAGCCAGTGAGAGCCAGAGCCAGGGCTCACCCTCAAGGGCAGTGCGGCTCCAGAGCCTGATCCCTTCCTAAGTGTTTGATGAAGGTTCCTGCCCTACTCGCACTGGGAGACTAAGACCCAGCAGTGCTTTTCGGCTCTGCCTGAAGCACAGCGGCATCAACCCTTCTGCCCTCGGAAACCCTATCCCTAGGTGTACCTCGGCCTCCACCACCCTGTGCAGCCCTTCATCAGCACCTTTCCAACTGTGGGTCACAAAATTCACAGAGAATCTGGGCTTGTTTTTGTGGTTTTGAAAAAAATATGAAATAGAAAAAAAAAACAATTGAAAACACCATTCCTTTCCTGGCTTGCTGCAGTTGCCCTCTCTGCATAGAACAAACTCCCGCTCATCTCTCAAGGCTGTGTAACACCTACTGGTTACGATGCAGGTTCGGAGCCAGAACGCCTGGATTCACAACTCAGCCCTACCACTTAGTGCGGCGTGATTCTGGACAAGCTATTGAGCCTCTCTCGGTCTCAATTTCCTTTCCTATACAGTGGGAATTATAAGAGCCCCTACTTCGCAGGTTTACCGTGTGAATAAAATGAGCTAACATATATGCTAGTAGCCCAAGACAGCTCATACACATATTAAAAGCAATAAATGTTAGTGATTATTATCATCATTTGCTGTTTAAAGCTCCCCTGGAGCCTGTAGGTAGACCCAAGCATCTTTTGGTCAGAGGTCCCCAGTGCTGGGTGACATTCCAAGGTCACTGAAGTATGGCCAATATCTGATTTCTCTGTGATTAGAGCATCTTCCCACCTGCCTCAAACCCTGGGCATGGCGTATGGAGAGCTCCAGGCACAGAGAGACTGCAATCTGCACCCCCAACTCTGATACTTGAAGTTACTTATCCTTTCTAAGCCTCAGTTCCTATTTCTGTAAAATGTTCCTATGAAGCCGAGTACGTGCCTCCTAGGCTGTTGTAAGTATTAAATAACATAAGGATGGAAAGTACTTAGCCCCAGACAAACTCAGCTGTTATTATCAGAGTGTCACTCAATAAATGTAGAAGGAAGAAATCAGACTTCCGAAACCTCAGAGGTGCCATCTGCCAACTTGGAAGATGCTCATCACTGTTGCCTGAAAACCGGAGCACAGATCAAAGCTGACAGCCTGCTGGTCCTCCAGGTATCTGACTGCAATTATACGCAACCTGGCGCACACCGAATAGGGCTCTACAGTTTCCTACACCGCTCACACACCTATTTCTGCAGGTAAAACCCCCATTTGACAGAGGTGCTCAGCACGGTACCACTGGCAGGTGAGGTCCCCGAGGCTGGAGTCTGCTCCTCCCCACACTACAAAGGCTTCCCTCAAACTCTATGTGATTGTCAACCCCACAGCTGGTGCACCCAGCTTTTCCTTAAAAGAGGAATTTATAACTCCCAGAGTGCAGAGGAGCAAAATGAGCAAGCGTTTTGGAAGCAGAACCCAGCATCCTCTGACTGTTCTCGGGGAGCTCACTGAACAAGTTCACTCACCTGTAGAGAGGGAGAGCCAGTATCACGTTGCCTCCCCAGGTTCTTGTGAGGATCAAGTGCAAAAACAGAAAGGGAGAGTGTTTTATAGATGTCGCTTACTGTGATCTTTACTGCACAGCCGATAGAAGCCCCAGGGGCTTCCTCAGCCTTTGAAGACAGTTGACAAGTCTGCTCATCAGAGCCCAGCACTGTGGCGAGACAGGACCTGGTCTCCCCTGGGGTGGGAGTGGGGATTCAGTTCTCAGGCCCCACAGACGAATGAATGAACGAATGGCATAACATCGATGTTTTCTTAGAGTTTCCAGATTACAACAAAGTGGTGGCAGGGGAAGGAGGGGGATTCAAACTGCCTTTTAATGTTGCTGCCTGGCCATAAAGACCACAGAGAAGGTTCTGCTACAGACAAGGCCACATCCTCACACTCGTCAGCTACCTTTGCGTTGGCTGCTCCAGAGCACCTATGAAAGAACTCCTCCATTAACATTTCCCAAGACAAATGAATACACCCTCAAAACTGTTACAGAACCGATTTCTTTTTCAGTATTTCCAAAAAGAAAGGAACATACATTCTGCAGAAGTCATTTAAAGCTGTAAACCTTAAAAATGCTCACAGGGCATCCCACTGGGTGAAGTTTTCCAGGTGACGTGGGCCCAGCACACCCCACAGAAGCCAGCCCTCCCGTGGCACCAGGGAAAGAGACGCTCCTGAACATTTTCCAAGTGACATTGCAGAGAAGAAGTTCTTTTTCCTTCATGGCACTGCTTTTTGTAAGTAAATCATTTGATTTTTGAGGTTAGTTCTCATCAGGGCTTTTTTTTTAAAGACACATCACGAGCACACCATTCTTTCTCTGAGTGAGGCTGTGAGAGGGGTTGGGGGTGGCATCCGGGCTGTGTCACATTCTGAGAACCGGCCCTCGGAGCCCCACAGGGGCAGGATGCTGCTCCTGGAGAGCTGGAGATATAAGTCTGGTCCTTAAGCTCATTCTCCACTCAAAATATTAGTCATTTCAAAATAGATATTCCCTTTTGTTGTCCCATCAGAGAAACATGGCTGTTGGAGGGGACAGGGACCAATGGGGGTGGGAAAGACAGGACTGGACACTGTTTACCAGGTCAGAAGGCACATTTCCAGTTTCCAGGGACTACAGTGGAGGTGGGTTGGCGCCCTGGGCCCCTCCCTCCCTGAGGAGGGATGAGAAGAGCCTGCAGGAGCAGGCAACTGGGGAGGGAAGGAGCAAGTTGACCCACTGGAAAAAGCTGACACAGGAGTTTGGGCTGAAGGTTACTGGGAGGAGTCTAGCAAGGAAGGGAGAGAGAAGCCTTGTGGAAAGTAGGGTTAGAAAGCAAGAGAGGGAAGAAGACCCTTAAAGAGGGAAAAAGCAGCTCAAAGACTTAGGGAGGCCTCCCGTAACAGAAAAGTGAGCCGGAAAGGGGGGACACCTTTTGCCATCCTAACAGGTGAGAAGGCACCAGGACCACGTCTTGGTCCCCTTGCCCCGGTACACTGTGCATCTTTGTCAGCTGAGAAAACATCCAGGGCCAGCACCACCTTGGTGCAAATATGTTTGTACTCCCCACCATCCAAGGAGAAATTACACCATTATTTTTGCCCTCCCAGTCCCAGTCCTATTCCAACTCATGAATTCCAACTCAGGGAATTCCGGGAGAGTTCAATGTGCTGGAGAAAAACTTCACCTGTCGTCTACTCTTACCCATTCTGCAGTAAATGTCTCCTCCCCAGGGAAGTCTCCCTGAGCACCTGGGACCAGGCTAGGTCCTGCCCTGAATTCTTCCTCCATCAAACTGTAACAACTACAGTTACTAACTTATTTGCACCATTTTATTCTTAATATTTGTCTCCTTCGCTAGAGTATGAACCCCCAAAAATGCTATGTCTATGTTGGCCTTTGCTGAACAGCCCTTGCAGGCCCGGTACCTGGAGTGAGGCAGCACAGAATGAGTCCTGAGGACAAATAAACAGATCCTAGTAATGCCCCTGGCAGAGGCAGAGGGGCAGGACTTACCGCACAACTTGTTCTGGAACACTGAGGTCAGCGACTCCATCTGGCTGAAGTTGGCCACCAGGAAGACGTGGTCCTCGTGGGGCTCGCTCCCAATGGCCTTCAATGTGTTGAGGTCCACCTGGCCTACACCAATGGCGAAGATCAGGATGCCTGTGTCCCGTGCCTTTGCAGCCACCTCGGCCACAGAGTCCTGTGGTCTCCCGTCCGTCACAATCATTATGACCCGCGGCACATTCTCCCTCAGGGGCCGGGCCCCCTCCGCTTCGGAGAAAGCAATGTTCAGGGCGTACTGGATGGCCAGCCCCGTCATGGTGCCCGTGGACAGGTGCCTCATCCTCTTGACGGCGCGCTCCACCTCGGACTTCCTCTTGAAGGTCTTGAGGGAGAACTCATTCTTAACGGTGCTGCCATATTGCAGCAGGCCCACTCTGGTGACATCGGGGCCGATGTCCAAGAACTGCAAGATGTCCATGATGAACTCCTTGACCTTGGCATAGTCGTGGGTGTTGACACTGCGGGAGCTGTCAATGATGAAGACCAGGTCTGCCCGCTTATTTTCACAGGAGCTCTCTGGGGAAAGAGGAGAGGTCAAACGTATTAGAAGAGTGTGAAGGACGGTGTTTGGCTATTGTTGGAAGTCACAGGGCTGGGGATCGCCTTTCAAACTTCCAATCTTCATCCGTGTTTCTTCATACCTGGGAAGGTTGTGAGGGTGTGTGTGAAAGCTGTGTGTGCATGTGCATGCCGGGGTGACCATGAGTCCAGGCTGCCAACCACTACTATTTCTTTTCCCAAGATAAACGCACACTTTAGTTTTTAGAAAGTCATCAATATGTTTTTCAGGAGGCCAAACACCTGATCAGGGTAAAAAATGACTTCACTGTTTACTCTATGCCACAGAAGCTCTCCCAGATACTGCAGGGAACATGGAAGAAGCTTAGGAAAGGGATCAACATCAAGGAACACACAGTCTACCTGAGGAGACTCAACGAATGGAACAAGTGAAAGGACAGCTGGAATGAAACTGTGCGGTGCTGACACCACATGTGCGGAGAACAGGGATGTTGGTGGGCTGGGGTCGAGGAGAGAGGACATGAGCCAGCCTTATGGGTGTGCGGTGTTTGGACTGAGAGGAGGCGCACAGGGAGAGGTCCACCCGAACAAAAACCCAAGACGGTGCAAAGACGGTGGATAATAGAATAAGTGGCGAAGGAACTGCTAGGTGTTGCAGGCAGGAATTAAGTTGCAGGGGTAGCCTGAAAGTTGTAAAAGGCCTTTAAATTCAGACTGAGAAGTGTGTACACAATGCTACAGGTGATGGGTATAATAGGATTGGCGTCCCGTGATGTAACCTGTCTCTTCTGTGGAGAAGCTATGTAATAAAAAGTCAATTGAGTGTGTTAATGGTTTGCAAGGTGGGTGACTCAGACCACTTTGCACTAACCAGGTTGGGTCTCAATCAGGGCAGTGGTGGAAATGGATGAGGGGCCCAGGCAAGAAACATTTCAACCAGGGACACAGTTAAATTTGAAAAAGGCAAATGCTAAGTCTCTCCCTTATCACCACAACCAGCATTCTTATTCCTTAAGCACCCAAGCAAGGAGGCTATGTGAGGTTTGAGTCCACGGGTGGAACTCACTGCATTCTGTGAAGAGGATGGTATTGGATGAGAAGAGAGACCTCTGGCCTCAGAGTGGGAGCTGGAATTGCTCAGATGTTTTGAGCCACTGCCTCCAGCCAGGGGTAGTCCCTCCTCCCTTCCCCAGACTTCGCAGCTAAATCCACATTTGATAGGGATTAGAAAAGGGATCCCAAATGCTTGCCCTAAATCCCAAACACCACAGCTGCAAGAAAGAGAGAGAAAGCCAAAAATGAAACAGTGAACCCAGTCACTAAAATGAGAAATAAGAAAGGCCTATGAGGTCACCCCGTCCAGGCCAGCTTGCCAGGCAGTGACTCGCCTGCGAGCCAGCACGTAACACCCCATCCACTGCAGCCTCCCGAGTCTAACGATGTTAGGGGAGGGGGCACCCCCAAACACCAGATTCTGGGAGGGAACCGGCTCTCTGCGGTACCCACATGTAACACTGGGGGTTGCGTGAGTGTAACGTGAGTTTCTCAGACCAGAGGCCCCAGAAACTGCCTTTGAGGACCCTGGGATAAGATCAATATAAAACCCCTGGTGTTTGTAGGATGTGTTAAAATCTCTTTTTGTCCCCAGAGGGCTTTTATCGCTCTTGAGAAAAGAGCTGGGAGTATCATACCCACTGGCCAAATGAGAAAATGGAGGTGCTGACAGTTGGAACACCTCTTATGATTTAGAAAAAGGAAAGCTATGTGACGACAACACAGATACCCACCACACTGGGTGGTTGTGAGAATTTAAGAAAATGATCCAGCCCAGCCCTGAACCCTGGAGGCTGCGTCCACCCGGACAGGCCCCTGGAGAGGGCGCTTTCTTCTAATTTTCACGGAGGTGCGTATGTCTAGCACATGGCGCTGGGCGCAGGGGATGGCAGGCCCACAGGAGGCAGATAGAAGACAAGGTCCAGGAGCCAGGCTGACCTCTTCTAGGGGCCTCACCTGCCCCTCCCTGGATGTCTCCCACCCTGGATGTGTGAACTGACTTCAGGGAGAATGCGACCAATGACCTCCACCTGCTGAGCACTGGAACTGGGCTCTGACCCTCGGCAGAGGAGGACATTCATGGCAGGCTCCTGGGAAGGGAGGGAGAGGGACAGCAGGCTGTTCCCCTGAGACCTCTCTTCTTCTTTGGAAATGGGGAGTGAGTTTCCCGGGCACTGGGATCTTACTGTGGGTCTTACTCATGGTGTTAACATCCCACCGAGCATCACAATCGATTTACTTGTGGGGAAGCCCAGAAATTCTAAAGGGGATTACGTGCTAAATGGATTAGTGCGTGTCAAAACAAATCGGTAGTTTCCCAATGCCTGGACACTTACAAAAACGCCACAAGGGTTCAAAATGTTGTGGAGGTTACACGGGAGCTGTGATGGTGAGCTGAAAATGGGTCCTAGCCACTTGAGTGACCGAGTTTTCTTCTGCAGGTTCAGGATGGTACCTGAACACATTCATTCCTAGCAAGTTCCCGGTGAAGCTGATCACTGCTCCAGGGACCACACTCTGAGCACCACCAGTTAAGTACAAGAGAGCTCTCTGGAGAAGAGAAGTTCTGGCAAGTCGTGACCTCATTAACTCACTGTGAACTCCCAGCAGTGGGAAACTAGCCTCTCCCGTCCACGTAGCCGTGCAGTTGGGAATACAGTGAGTCCTAGGTCAAGTTTGTGGAGTTAAATGAGGTTCAGGGACTCCTGGACTAACACAATCTCTAGAGATGGAGGGGTTGAATAGAGTCCAAGCCACTCACTTTCCAGAAGGAGAACCTGAGGTGCAGAGAGGTGATTCTTTGTCCACGAGGTCTTACGGCTCTCGAGGGTCGCACCTGGCACTACGCTGGTGCCTTGCCCGCCGTTTTCAGGCAGGTGCCTGGGAAACTCTCAGCGCATCACCAGCTGCTGTCAACATGAGCGTGAAAGCCCTGGGGGGCTTTCTGAAACATTCATTGTGAAGAGCCTAACGGCTTCTCCACAGGGGACTTCTGAGAGACGATCCCAGAAAATGACTCTTCTCTGCGTGTACGTCCCTTTCACATGCCGGTTCTGATCCACGGCGTCCCTGATCCTCGGCCTGGGTGAGCACACAACAGTCCTCCTTCGGGACCCTCACAACGGACTTCCAACAGCCACTAGGAGAGGGTTTGTGAGCACGTCACAAGATGTCATCCCTTGCACCATAAAGTGACAGTCTGGACCTTGTCAACAGCACTTCCAGTGCCGTCAGCTTGAGCCCATGGCCCACACGTTGGCCGAAGTAAGTGTCCTGGGCCCTTGCAGAGCGGGCGAACCTGGGCCAGGACAACTGTAAGCAACATTCCCACTCCCGCGGGATTGCAGTGTGTGATCTTGGGACTGCTTCTCCTCCCAGCCTTGCTGATTTGCTGCTAATCGGCCTCCCTTGCTGCGGCTACATTCAATCATGACCGAGTAATTGTACAGTAACTATTTGGTGCCACCTGCCCGGGAAGATCCAAGCATGTTTGGAGAAGGGAGTGATGTGAATCTCCATGACAAGGGTAAAATCATGTCATCCAGGGACTGGAAGGGAGCTCTAGAACGTTTGGTGAAACGGGGCAGAGCCTCTGATCTCAGTGCAAGTCTAGCCTCCGCTGCTTTCTGCCCACGTGGTCTTGACCCTCTCTTTAACCTCTGTGACCCGCAGCCTCTTCTTCTGTGAAATGGGGATAATAATACCTCACAGGGCTGTTGTAAGGCTCCAAAGAGAATATAATGATAATTTATAGCTTCTGTTCATTGAGCACTTAATAAGTACTTGGCTCTGTTCTGACTACTTCCCATATGTTGGCTTATTTATTTCTCACAGCCTCCTTAGGGAGCAGATTCTGTTACTATCCCATTTTGCAGATGAGGACAGTGAGTCTAGAGAGGTTAAATAGCTCAGGGTCTCATCCTTAGGGGGTGGAGGCACAGGGTCCTGAATCCCATCTATCTTGTTCGGCTCTGCAGCCCATGCTTTTGCCCACCACCCACTGCTCAGAAAGGCTCTGTCCTTTCAGATCTGCCGTTTGCAGAGTACTCAGGAGGCGCCAGGATGGCACCAGCTCTCCAGGGTCAGCTCCTTCTTTCCCCGGGTTCCCAGGGCCTGAGAGCTGTGGCCCAAACTGGCCTGCCTTCTGCCAAGTGCTTCTCCTCTGAGAAATGGCTGTTTGAATTTTTTTAATTTAATAAGATGATGAAAACAGATGCTTTCCCAGTAAATCAGGCTGCTAGTCATTCTCGTTCTCATTCTCTTGACAGGTGCTGACTGAGAGATAAGGAGGAGCAAGGCCCACGGGGACTGAAGGGCAGGACGGGAGAGGGGGAGCTGAGGCCGTGGACCCTCGAGGGACTGTGAGGAATAGGAGGAATCTGGCTCAGATAATAGGCAAATGCTGTGGGAGGGGGGGATTTCAGAAAATGTGATATTTCATACCAGTTCCCAGCAAACTTCCCACAAGCAGATGGTTTGTGGGCACTTAAAAAAAAACGAACTGTAGAAAATCAAATGACACCAGTGAAAACATGTAACAATTTTTAGGACCGTGCAGGAGTACAAGGACTGGGAAACTGGAGTATGATTTCTGGGCAGCACTGAAGACTGACTTGCGGGTAGTGATCACGAAATTGAAATGAGACCAACCACAGGGTGTGTGTGTTGCTCCACTACACTCAGCTGTGCAGGTATAGGGGGAAAGCAGGCAAAAGCCGACTGAGCCAGGGCTGTCATTCAGCCACTCGAGAGTGATGAATCAGGAGAGTGGCAAAGGCCATCGACAGGGCAACTATAATGATTTCCTTTGGAACTGAACTGGGGGAGCAGGGAGTAGAGGCAATGAGTGGGGAAAAGACAGAGAAGTAGCAGGATCAGCAACCTGAAAGTCCAGATAAAGTCACAAAATTATTGAATCTGGAATACTAGAAGGTGTTAGAAGG